TTTTTTTCGAACAACACTAAAATAACATTCCGGTACCTTGCTCGTAGAGTATCGAAACAAAAAACTGAACGAAAAAAATTCAACTTTGAGAAGCCGATAATTCTTGTAACAGATAACTGGGGCACGTTTCTAAAAAGATTTCCAAGTTACCCCCCGGGATTACTAGGTCGAACGAATTTTAATTGAACGATTAATTAGGTACTTCTAGCATCTACCTGAAGTTACTTTTCATCATGCAGCAGCACGTGTCTCTCTCGCGAAAATTTCACCATTTAACACGTTTGAGATTTTCCGTCTTCAATTTCATTTCGACCGCTATGAAAAATGCACTTTGCCATCCGACACGCTTTTGAAACGTTATTTCACAACGAGCACTATGCTCCGTCGCATTACCGAGACCGCCGCGGGCGCGCGAGGTAGATCCCAGGATTTTATCGGGAATCTTTTTTGCCTCTCCTCGCTCCACAATGTAGTAGCGCCGTAGTAGTGACAACCGGCCGGGATGACGATTACGAGAAAATGAGGTCACAGTCAGACATTCAGACACAATCTCTCCATTTACGCGGTAGAAGTAATTATACCAAATAAAGCAGTAATCGAGAACTGGATACACTATTCTCGAAATGTTACCACAAAGACATCAAATAGATCCTTTTTCTCAGTCATAATAAATATCGCGTATAGATAAAAAAAAACTATACACAAATAACATACATATATATTTCAACTTAATACTGTAAATCCAAGTGTGTAAAAAGTGGTTTCAATATCTGCTATGTGATTAGTTTAGACTGCAGAGAGAGTATAATAAGTTATTTTTTCACTGGAAACTAATCGCACACATATATTGGAGCCATTTTTTATACACTTGGATTGGAATTAAAATTAATCGCTGATTTGAATCTCTTTAAATAGATAGGTGTGGGTGCTTAGAATGGCCTAATCAAAATTTTATATATTTTTTAACAGCATGTATAAAGTTAAATTTACATTATTTATATTCTTATGAAATGATGAAATGTAAAACTAATGAGCAACATTTTTTGTTTTCCTGTTTCGAAATAAGATTAGCAAGATAATTATGCGCGGAATGTTGTCACCTGTCTATTTAAAAGTTAAATAAACTTAAGAAAATATTGTAAAATAATCATTGAAAGTTTTCGATTTGTAAGACTGTATTTTCGATCCGACACGTGTAAGACAAAATAAACCCCTTTCCCGCGAAATAGCGATTTCATGTGGGGAACCGGCAGCAGCTTTCGTCGCGACGGAAACAGAGCATACGGTTGCTCCTTTGATTAATGCTTCCTCGGGGATGAAGCGAAGGGGTTAGAGAGATAGTGGTAGTGGTGTCCTGAGCTACGACTAATCCTCTCTCGGCGTGCACATGTAGGTACGAAACTCGATGGCAGTCCTAAGAACCTAAGCGTGGACACGAACGAAAACTCATTTCCGGATGCGTTCCCCTTCTCTTTCCTCCCACCCCTCTCTCTCTCTCTCTCTCTCTCTTCGTCTTCGTCGGTCTTCTCGTGAATTATATGCATACGACCGGATACGATGTTGCGTTCGCGTTCTTGATCATGTTATTCTGCACTAGGGAGATGTGTTCGCGATTTCAATGTGACGGATTTCAATAAGTATACATAAAAAGTGAACATTTCAATATATAAAGCATTTACTATAATTTTGTCGCATAATATAAAAAGATTAAAAAATTATTAAGTAAATAAGTAAAAAGATTAATTATGAGAATACCAATCACGAAAAAAAATCGATTGACAGCGCCGTCGTAAAAATATTTTATTTTGATATCTAAATCTTGTTGGAATATTAACGATAAATATTTTTGTAATTTCATATTATGATGATTATTAAAAAATGGAATGTAAACAGAGTTCTTCATGTTCTAACAATTACATTATCTAACAATTATAAATTGTTAAATAATAATATAATGTCGTCATTTTGTCACATCATTACATTGTAATAACAATTTTGTAATTTCATTAAAATTGCTTTCCATTTATCATGACTTTAAGTTAACTCACGGTTGCGGGGGAAATGCGGCTGATGACCGGATCTGTTCAGTGCCTCAACTTCAAACAAACTTCTCAGCACTCTTGGGACCGAAGGGATTGCCCGTGTAAACGACGCATCGTTAGTACATCCAGAAAGAACGAAGGATAATACGAAAGCATGGTTGGAAGGAGAACGCAGAGAAAGAAGCTGGAGGCAAGATGCTAGTCGCCAGCGATTCCTTGATTTTCACCAGAGTAGCTTGGCCGCGACAATTGGCCGCGACAACTACACGGTTGTCCGAGAAGTAATTTTAACAGTGGTGGTCTGAAGTCATCAGAACGTGGCGAAGAACCATTGGGAAATACGTTCCTCGATAGTTGAAATGGACGAAGAAAATAGTTTATAGTTTTGCTCCGAATTATATCTTTTATCTTTCTTCAATTTATCATTATGTTCAAAAATATTGCTTAATAAAGTAATTTATTACACATTATTAGCGTATTTATTTCGTGGCTAATTTACTTTCTTCTTCCACCCGCATCTGGAGGGGTGAGTCATGCAATACGAGGACGGTAACTTCATAAGAAATCAGGCATCATTAAATCGTTTAGTTTTTTCCCCTTGCCACTTTTTCCTATCATCAACCGTGAAGGAGGTATAACCCGTTCGAATTACGCGACTCATCCTGTATAATAGATCACGTTTCTCAACGATTTTATGACGTCTTTTAAATAAATAATTAATGCAAATCAACGAATACGGTCGCGTGAGAAAGAAAAAAGATATTGATGGTATCAACATGGTCGGCTGATAAATTCGCGTAGAAACGCTCTAATCGGTGTAAAGGAAAAAAAAAGAAAATGAAAGAAGAAAATAACAGAACCGGAAAAAAGCAGAACAAGATAAAGAGAGATGAAGAGAGGGTAAGTGAGGCGGCCGAAGGAGGTAAGGGAGCAGCTGAGAAAAATAATCCAATTTAGTTAGTGCGCGCACGACGACCCGGCTAACTGTTCGCCTGTTTTCACGGTTTTTAATTATACACCCACCCCTTCTCCGTCGGCGTCCCCTTCTATCCTGGAGTCCGCGTTCGTGCCTCTGGAGAGGAGCTCGCGCACTTTTTTGTCGTTGTGATTCAGGACAGAGAAACACACTTTCATGGAACTTCACTTCAGAATAGACGTTAAGCAAAATAGACGATCGCCCGACTTAACAGACGGAAGAACTCTCGCGGGTTATACGGGCACAGGTTCTTGACCGGCCAGGAAGTCCGGGTCCTTTTTTCCGCCTTTGCGGCGAACGAGGGTAATCCGATTTCGATGGAAACTTCCGCGACGCATGATTGCATTTGGGACGCTCGGCTCCCGCCGAAGAGAGGCCGACATAGACGGCACGCGAGACTATCGAGCATACTTTCCATCCTCTCCTCTTTCTCTCCCTCCTTTTTTTTTACGGCGAATTCGACGGTTAAGTGGAAGTTAGCATCGACGCTCTCCTATCCTTTATCGCGCGGCTCGAACTCGATTCTAACTCAGCCCTTTTATTACTCTTACGTTTACTTTCCAGCGATATAACGCGCGCGCTCTCTTTATTCTACCACCCTTTGCCCTTCTCCCTCGCTCCTGATCGCTCGAGAGTGTCGGCCGTTTTATCGGCTTTCGACGTCGCTGCAATTAGCATTTTAATTCTCAGCTAAACGCGCCCTCCGCCGAACGCGCAACTTTTTCGACGCCGAGTCTCTCTATAGTTAAGTGTGCACTGACCAACGAGTAATATTCAATGCAACAGCACGCACCTGCGTTACCAATGCGTTGACTTTTTTTTTCTATTTTCATCAGCTGAAGAAAGTACAGTCTCAAACGGAAAAGTCGATTTTCGTGAAATTACAGAGCGCTCTGCTTCCAACAATTTATAACTTTACAACTCATTTTAACCTTCCAAAGCTGACAAAATCTGTAACACAGTTACTGACGCTAGTCTGTAAGACCCATTTAATTTAAATTAATATTAATTAAAAAGCACTAATTAATTTCAAGGAATCAAGATGACATAATTCGTATAAAAAAGGAAATGAATATGAAGTATTACATATACAGAATGTCCCGAAATTCGTGAATCGAAAAATAAATAAGATTGTTTTCGAAGGTTAAGGTAAACAAGTTATTTGTAAATTTTTATTTTAAGCAATAGTTTGTAAAATAATAAGCGTTTAAATATGGCTAATTACGGACTATGTTTAGACGGATTTCGTTTAAATGTTAAAGTGCGCGTTTACTAATACCACGATGGATAAGTGGTCGTCTAAAAGTAATCTCTGTAATTGGTTATATTTAAGTATTTGTATCTGAAAAACTATTACTTGAAATAAAAATGTACACATAACTTTTTTATTTAATTTTTCGAAAACTTTCCAATTGTGATATATTGTGATTCGCGGATTTTGGAACACCCTGTATATTTCAAACACAATAGTTCTCCAAATGACATTTTAAAGACGGTCAGAGGATGTTCTATGTCCTAAGGATGTTCCTAGAACATCCCTTTGAAAACTATTGTGCAGGACATATATTAGTTTATACATAAAGAAAATTAAATTATTTGACATATTTTACACAGAAATTTATAATTGAATGGGCCCAATCAACATCAGCTCCGGAGATTTAAATAAAAATTCGAAGATTAATTAATAAAATATAGAATAGAGAATTTTAAATTAAAAAGATCTGATAGGATGAAATGGTAAGAATGTAAAACATCGAGTCCGATCGAACTGCCGATCGATTCGAGCACATCGGGGCGTCGCGACGCCACCACCGCCGCCGCC